AATAATAAACAACAAGTATGGAGAAGCACACAAACTAGCGAAATTCATATGCTTAAAGCTCAAAAAAGTTAATGAAAGACTCCCAGCACTATGAGAACTCAAACGAATTTTCTTAGGATCCAAAACGTGGACAGGCATGGGCGGAACTATTTTTAAGTTTTGACCTAGGATCCATATACATAAATATATCAGGTGAGAAGGCTGTCACTCCACTGCTGGAGATCTTGGAACGAGAAGAGGATATCCTCGAAAGATAGGGGAGACAGAAGGAGCCGTTAAAATGACTGATCATCTTGACAGTAAGGATAACATATTTTATCTTCAGCGACAATATCCATGAGCAAATAAATGTATTAATTATGTGATCTCCACTCTCATCTCTTTTAGAAAATACATATATGGATGAATTAGAAAAAGAATTCGAAAAGTCACCACTGTAACCAAGAGTGCTCATGCGATGACTTCTTTGCACTTTTGTCGCATTAAAGTAAAATTTAGATGAGTTCTTAAACTTTACGAACCAACTTGATGAAAGAATTAAATTCACAAGGGAGGTGCAGTAGATGGAATGATTACCTTTTTTGGATGTTGAGGTCATGCGCTCTAACGAGACAGTCAAGAGGAGATTGTTCAGAAAGAAGTAACATGTGGGAATAATCCTCAATTTCCAGTTCCATCACAACTACAAACTGAATATCGGAATAATGAGGAGTTTGATAATCAGAGTTACGCACTTAGTCCGGAGTCCGTTGTATGCATAATAATTTCTAGAATAGGACCGTGGACGTGGTACATTCCCAGAAGTTTCGCCGGTATCGTAGTCGGCATCGTCAATGAGTCTCGTCATTCTTAGCACTACACAACAACTCGGCAAAGAGACAAGTGAAGCCGATCCTTTGACCAAACGTGTGCTAAACAGTTTTGGTATATCCCATTCTGCCCTGGGCTATTCACATTTCCTATATCCTTCTATCACGCCTTCACTGTTACAATTTTTACCGTTTTTATTTCGATGTAGTGTGGTGTTCTCCTTTGAGTGGTATTCATGGAAAACCTTCACACTCCACACTGTCGTTCTAACCCCGAGTAGCACAGATGGTGTGGCAGAGGTCGAGTGAAATACGTGAACCAGGGAGAGAGCAGACGGATCTTACGGGGCGAGAGAGAGGTTGTGATAAGGCATAAGGAGAGAGGACCGCGTAAAAATATGGCATACTCAGATCAAAATTTTCAGCTCAAGGGGGAAGGGGATTAGAACGACAGTGTGAAGTGTGAAGGGTTTTCATGAATGCTACTCAAATGAGCACACCACACTACATCGAAATAAGAACGGTAAGGATTGTAACAGTGAAGGCGTGATAGTAGGATATCAGAAATGTGAATAGCCCAGGGTAGAAGGGGAGATACCACAGCTGTTTAGCACACGTTTGATCAAAGGATCGGCTTCACTTGTTTCTTTGACGAGTTGTTGTGTGGTGCTAAGAATGGCAAGACTCAGTGGCGATGTCGAATACGATGCCGGCGAACGTCTGGGAATGTACCACGCCCACGGTCCGACTTTGGAAATGATTATGCATACAATGGACTCCGGACAAGATGCGTTCTAGGTTTTCCTACCAATATGACCAAGTTGCGAAAACAAGGTCAAACAACCTGTATACAACGAAAGGGGACTGCGACCACACAAGAGGCCACACCATCTTGGTCTTCTTATCTTCGATTAAAATATTTTTCTGCTAAAATGCCTTTGACATAATTAGTTCCTAATTTTTTTTAAGTACGACTTGGCAAGTGGATTTTATAGAGAAACTGGGCGATCTAAGGGCAAAATAGACTTTACTGACATCATACACTATGGACTTTTTTTGGCTCCATCCACTAGCAAACACCAATGTATTACGTTTTCATCTAATAACCTTTATCACTTTACGTCTCTTAAGATTATACAAAGGCTGGTGGTTTAATTTCCCGTTTAAATGATAGCCTCGATAATTACTTATGTTGAATCAGCCTTTATTATTGCTCTTATCTTTCTTTTTACGGAGCGTTTATTATACATATGGAGTCTGAGCTACTTGGGCTTACTTTAATGATCCAATAATTACTTTGTTTATTTCCATATGCTTGTTGTCAGTTCTGACGATGAAGAGGGTGGCAAAGATGGCCTTAAGAAAGCAGTGCCAAGCGTTGTTCTTCCTGCGGGTACTCAATCTCTGATTTCTGGTATCAAGACAACTGCCCCCAAAATACAGCCAGACACAAGTTTGGCTACCTTTGGATCTGATCAAAATACCACTTCCGCTGCTAATCCTACTCCCCATGTGCCGACCGAATTGCCGTCTATATCTCCATCGGCAGTCGCCCTCAAACCTGAGACTTCGAACTCTAGTGCAACTTCTGTAGTCCCTGGCCGCCCTCTGAAGCCACCCGCATCGCCGGTCATTGCACGTAGTCCTCTAGGCAAAGCAGCAGGCGGCTGTTCGGTAATATTGAAAAAACACTTGGGTAGAGAACCTAACTGAAATCTGTGCTTATTTTAATTCGTTTTTTTCCCTTTTACCTCTCTTATGTACCCTCTCAGGAATCCGTGACTCCAACTGTCACTGAAGTCACAATAACTTCAGTCTGCGATGAGACTTCGGCAATGCCACAGCATGAAGAATCACATGATTCTTCTGATTCAATTGAAGCCGATTTGGATGAAACGAATGGTAATTATTTACTTAATTACTCTAATCACATTCATACGCATGCCTTGCACCTTATATATTACTTTAGTGGGAGTCACAATAATAGAATTGTTTCTATTTGCTCTCTTACTTAAATTAGTTTATCTGAATATATATGAGTTTATCTCATTGAATCTCATGCATTTTTTAAATTACCGCTGAAGTTTAGTAACTTGACTACCGTTTATATTATATAATTCCAGATTCCGAGGCATTCCTTTAAAATGCCCAGCACTTTTATTTTTTAATTATCGACTTACTTCGTCAGAGATGAGGGCCATGTATCAAGCCTCTATGTCTTAAGATATCAAATTGCTCATAATGATTTGCCTTTATATTCTTCCGCCTGCAGGAATTTCTTTAGATTTCCAACTCGAGATTATTGCTGCCGCTACTGATCACTTTAGTCAATCTGCTCGCAACAATGAGGCTGTCATACTTTCCGATAAGCTACTTGGTGGAGTTGCAGCAAGCCCAGCATCCGACAGACGGTGAGCTTACCTGGTCCTATTGTAATGTTCGCATCTTTTTTGTTTATAGGGCTAAATCTATTTCAGCCTCTATTGGGTTTCCACTTTGGCATTTTTATGTCAAATGTATAGCGGTTCACATTTTGTCCATTTGTCATATTCTTTGTTTTCTTATATTAACTAATTAGTTCACATTGTTTATGACAATGTTCCTACCTCTTGTTCAACGCTTTCCACATTTACCAATATAATATAGGGTCCTGAACATTTGATTACCAAATTTTTATTTTTCTGTGTTTGCTTTTTTAACAATAGCTCTACAGGATCAACTATCCGCTCCCGCAGTTCATCACCCTCTCGTCCAGCCCAGCCTCCATCTGGGCGGGTCAGCCCTATGCCTTCTATTTCAGATGAGCTACACAAGTTCAGATCTACTAGCCCTCTATTACAGGAAACTCCTAAAGCTGAGCCACAGGGTGACTTTTCGTATCATATCGTTGGAAAGATGATTTTCTTATGAATTTTAACGATTTAGTGGCGCAGCTATTTTTTCATTGTTTTGATTTAATATGACTTTTACGAAAACTGACTTAGTTTCATTGAACAAAAAATTAGTTATTTGGTACCCTTTTGCGTTGAGTTTACAGAAGGATATAGTTTCAAAGATACAAATGAAATTGTGAGTATATTTAATTACGAGTCATTTATTTCTTTTGTGTTACTTAAATGGGCTTGGTTCGTTCTTTGGCCCTCAAAAGGCTGTTCCTTTTATTTTTAAATACCATGACCTATTTATAAAGCTTTAAACTTCCAAAAATGTAGATGCTAAACTACTTGGCATTATAAACAAACACGTATGTGCTAAAGCAAAGATGTGAAGCCCAAGATGGTGTGGCCTTTACTAAAGTCGCGGTCTCTTTTAGTTATATAGAAGTGGCTTGGCCTCGTTTTCACAGCTTGGTCATACTGTCAGAGAGACCTAGATAAAAGCATGTTATCCGGATTCCTCTACCAAAATATCCATGATAATTTTCAGAGCCAGACAATGGACTTTGACAAGAATGCCAAGGCTTACTGATACTGTCAACTGCGAGGCAGGCGAAACTTCTGGGAATGTACTAAGTCATTTGTCTGGCACTGGAAAATAGCATGAATACTATAATAGAGGCATCTAGACAAGGTGCGATTATCTTAGTCTCTTTGAAATTTCGAACAAGTTGCGAAAGTGAGGCCAAACTACCTATAAGCTGGTATGTGGCTTTCTTATTTGTTTGGTATTTCCTTGCTGAATCTTCTCTAAGATAATCTAGAGCAACCGAGCTGTCTTCTCATATCATGAAATACGAATGAAAAGCAAGTTTTTTTAACAATAATTGGATGGTTAATCGAGATTGTTTTTATAAGAAGGATGGAATACAAATTTTTGACTGAGGCCTAAGATCTCGATAGCAAATCTTTTTGCAATCAATACAAATATTTTCAATCTATCTTGACTAGATTTTATAAACGAGGTTTCCTCAATTTCAACGTCTTAATTTCTACATACACGATTTTTATTATTAAATCTTGCCAGATCAAAAGCGCGCTGTTTTATAACTTTTACTCTGTCTATTACATTAATTCGATCACTATGAATGGCCTTTAATTTACGATTTATTCCCCCACAATCACGTTATCACTATATCATAATTTTTGTGAGTCTATCTCCATTTTAATGATTTTGCCTCTTACATTTCATATTCACGGTTTGGACTAGATGTTCAGATGCGGGCTCTTCAATTCACCTCAGTATTTAACTTCAGTGGCTGAGGCTCGTAAATATTTTTTTTATTTATAATGTCGTAATGACTTAAGTTATATTATCTGTATTTAGACGATAGATTGAGATTTAAGGGGAAATTTAAGTTATTATATAGCTGTGGTAGAGATATGTTTATACTTTTATAGTGATAGATCGCAACCCCCATCAATCGTCTTATTCATGAAACTCATGATGACTTGTGCTTATGAGTCACCTACCTTTCGTTTTTATAGTTATTTTTGTGTCGCAGCTTCTTATTTTAGTAGTATTTGGTCCTTTTATTATATTTATTTTTCAGTTGACGATCTGGAAATT